TCAATTTGTAAAGAGTTACAAATAAAAAGACAGTGCTGGAGAAACCCAGCAGGTCTGGCAGCATCAATGAAGAGAGAAACAGAGTTGATGAAGCTGGGTTATATTGGATTTGAAATGGAGTGCAGGATGCCGGATCTGCTGAGTTTCTCAAACACTTTGTTTCTATTTCAGGTTTCCAGCATCTGCTTTTGTTTTGGAAAGGATTACATCCCTTCTTGCCAAAAATAATTACTTGCTGAAAACTGAATCTATAAACTTTCTCCTGAATGTCTAACCAAAAACAAAACTCTTGATTTGTTCGTTGGTAAAGAGAAAGTCTAAGAAATGTAATTACTTCTCATCAAAGCAAATATAATAATTAAAAAGATAATGAAGGCTTTTCCTTATTGCTGAAGACCAATAAGGATTTGGTCTCAACTTCAACTTCAAGCGTCATTCTGAGAGAATTAGGGTCGGGTAGTGGTGTAATGGTAATCCAGAGATCCAGACTCATGTCCTGGAGGATCTGGGTGTGGGCTTAGATCCCATCACAGCAGAAAACAGATTGGGGTGGCACGGTGGCTCAGTGCTTAGCATTGCTGCCTCACAGCACCAGGGACCTGGGTTCAATTCCGCCTATGGGTGACTGTGTGTGGAGTTTGCATATTCTCCGCGTGTCTGGTGGGTTTCTTCCGGGTGCTCTGGTTTCCTCCCACAGTCCAAAGATGTGCCGGTTAGGGTGGATTGGCAATGCTAAATTGCCAGTAGTGTTCAGGGATGTGTAGATTAGGTGGGTTATAGGGGGATGGGTCTGGGTGGGATGCTCTGAGGGTCGGCATGGACTTGTTGGGCCAAAGGGCCTGTTTCCACACTGTAGGGATTCTATACTCCAGAGCCACACTACTGTTGTTAACCCTTAACTGCTCTTTGAAATGACAAAACAAATAAAGTAGTTCAAAGACGATTAGGAATAGGCAATAAATGCTGGCCTTGTCAGTAACACCAACAGCCCATGAAAGAGTAAGGGCGGGGGGGGGGGGTCAGAGGAATGTGTGATGTACACCAGTTTATGCCAGCTTTATTATATCTGTAAGGTGGCAGCTGTGCCAACTAATTGTTTGTCAGAAAAGGTAGATTTAAAGTAGGACATCAATCAACAACAACTTGTCTTCATGCAATACCTTTCAGTAAATATGGCATCTCAAGGTGCCATAAAACAAAATAAGAGACGGAACCACAAGTGGAGATATTGGGAGATGACTAAACATTCGGTCAACGTGTTATGTTTAAAGCAGAGTTAAAAGAGGAGAAATTAGTGATTGAAGGGTGATTGAAGGCATGGCCCCCAGTCATGCAGTCCTTAGAATTGGGGATGATCAAGAGGCCAGAATTGGACAGTGCCAAGACTTTGAAAGAGGTGATCAATCATGTCAAAGACTGCATGCAAGTCAAGAAGGACAAAGAGGATAAGTTTATCTTCATCACAGTCAATAGGATGCCATTTGTAACTTTGGTAAGAGCCATTTCAGTATCAGTGTATTAATCACGATCTTATTGATAGGCCACAAAGGGCTGAATGGCCTACTACTGCTCCCGTTTCTTATGTGCCTTGAGCAGAAAATAAAGGGCACTGCTCCTCTCCATTCAGCCGCAGGAATAACAGCTGGAGAATGTACATCAAACTATTCTAAATGTCCTTTCTCTCTGGTGAATAAAAAGTACAAACACTGGGATCAAAGTAAATCTACCACCAGGAAATACACAATTGTACTCCTATCCCTGGAACTCAGGTATAAAGATCAATATTTAGGGTTTTACAAAGATTTATTAAAATTTCCTTTCATGTCAAATCTCCACCTTGTTAAATTGACCATCACCTTATTACAGTATTTGCCTCTAACCAATTGGTGAGTGCATAGCCACCGAATGAAAGACATCCTCAGAGGATAGGGATATAATGCACTTTATAGTTGGGTGAGCTGTGACTCATTGTTGTCACTGTTTTAGAAGGCTGTGGGTTCAACTCTGACTCCAAAAAATTAAACAGACACTGCCCCTGTTGGGGGAGTGCAGCACTGCAGAAGGTGCCTTCTCTCAAACGAGGCATTTCGTTGAGGTGTTCAGGTGGATTAAAGATCCTGGCTCTCTGTGAAGTTTTGCTCGATGCCTTGACCAACATTTATCCATAGGTTATCGGGTCATTATCACTTTGCTGTATATGGGAGTTTGCTGTGTGCAAATTGGCTGCCATGCACCCTGCAAGAACTTCATTGACTGTCAAACACTTTAGGACTTAACTATTTCTCAGTCCAAGTACTTTTCAGAATGTCCTGAGAGTCTAAACGTTTGCTGTGTAAATGCAAGTATTTCTTGACTTCCGTTCAGAGAAGTGCTAAGTATTGCCGTATCAGATTAATACTTCTGACAGTTAGCACTAATTTTGTCAATTACAGTACATAAGCCTCAGGGTAACAATCCCTGGCTCAGAACAACTCAGATCACCATGTTGCTGTCACAGTCACCAACACTGAATGAAAGCCTTGTAAAGTAGGATGCTAATCATAAACAAGAACAGGCATTCTCATAAATCACAAGATTTAAGGACATGAATTCTGTTTATAAAACATTTAAAACAAAGAATAGATCGGAGTCTACTTTGATTCTGAATCTCCACTGAGACTGCTGGAGGAATACACGTTCTGAGAGACACTGTTTTGGATGTAAAACATCTAAACCCTTTTCTGTATTTGCACTCAGCTGCCCGTGTTCACTAAATAAACCATTTCTACCTCTTAATGAAGTTATTGATGAGACTTATTTACAAACAACCACTCAATTGTATTTATGGGTAGTCAAAACTGTTCCAAATCATCCTTAACTTTATCCATCACAGTACACCAAGAAAACTGCAAATGAAGGTGGCCTGAAAAACAGGTGCAATGTAAAAGTGTTGAAAATCTCAAATCCTGCCCACTTCCAGTTTTACAAGAGGCAGGAAATCTGCTCACAGGGAGTAGGTTGGTCAATGAAATATTAACATGAGGTAGCAAGCCTCAGTTTTAATGTTTATAGGCCTGAAATACTCCCCAGGAGAGAAACTAGAAAGCATTTCATCATGAAAAGCTGAGGTCAAAGTCTGGGACTCTGTCTCATGTGCAAAAATGCAGCTGATGGTGGCTCTGGTAATAATTTGAAATCTGAGTTTGACTTTTGGCTGGATGGGGCTATGGAACAATGCACAGCAACGTTGGTTGACAAAGCTAAGATACAGATTGGCTGTGATCTGATTGAGTAGCAAAATAGGCCAGAGGGGCTGAATGGCCTCCTCCAGATCCTGTGTCTTAGGTAGACAGGGTGGCTAAGAAAGCGTTTAGCACACTTGCAGTTATTGCTCAGACCTTTAAATATCGGAGTTGGGATATCATGTTGAGGTTGTACAGGAAGTTGCGAGGCCTCTTCTGGAGTACTGTGCACAGTTCTGGTCACCCTGCTATAGGAAGGACATTATTAAACTGGAGCGGGTTCAGAGAAGATTCACCAGGATGTTGACGAGAATGGAGGGTTTGAGCTATAAAAATAGGCTGGGACTTTTCTCACTGGAGCACAGGAGGTTGAGGGGTGACCTTATTGAGGTTTATAAAATCATGAGGGGCACAGGTTAGGTGAATAGCAAAGGTCTTTTCCCTAGGGTGGGGGAGTTCAAATCTAGGGGGAATATCTCTAAGATGAGAGGAGAAAGATTTAAAAAGGGCACAAGGGGCAACTTTTTTACACAGGGAGTGGTTTGTGTGTGGAATGAACTGCCAGGGGAAGTGGTGGATGGAGGTTCAGTTACAACATTTAGAAGTTGGATAAGAATTTGGATATTAGACTTATTTGAGATTTTCAACACTTTTACATTGCACCTGTTTTTATAAGTTCATAATTAGCGAAGATTTGGAGGGATATGGGCCAAGTGCAGGCAAGTGGGACTTGGGAGCATGATCGGCATGGACTAGTTGGACCGAAGGGTCTGGTTGCATTGCACATGCACACGCGCGACCGGCTCCAAATCCAGACAAAACGTCTTCCATTTCTTCACTCTTATGAATCATTGGAATATTCTACCTCAGAGAGTTGTGGATGTTGAATATTAAATCAACAGATTTTTGACCTCTCAGGGAATTGAGGGATATCGGGAGTGACTGGAAAAGTGGAGGTGAGGTCTGAGACCATATAACATCCTGAGAGGTCTTGATGAGGTGGATACGGACAGGTTGCTTTCTCTGGTGGGAGAATCTACAACGATGGGGTCACTGTTTAACAATCAGGGGTCACCCATTTAAAACGGAGATGAGGTGCATTTCCTTTCCCTCAGAGGGTCGGATGTCTTTGGAACTGTCTTCTTGAAAAGCTGGTGGAAGCAGAGTCCTTGAATATTTTTAAGGCAGAGGGGGATAGATTTTTGTTAAACAAGTAGGTGAAAAGGTCAGAATGGAACGTGGATTTGAGGTTACAATCAGAGCAGCCATGAACTGACTGAATGACGGAGAAGGGCTCGATGGGCTGAATGGCCTACTCCTGTTCCTAATTTGTCTCATTCATAATAATATTGAAAGTCAGAGAAGATTCAATTGAAAAACCATAGGGTCCACTCCTGCTCCTGTTGCCTTCACCCTTGAAATACACAGTAAGTCAATCAGCCCCAGAACTTACCTTCCTGAGGTGTGCTTATCCTCAGGTTCAACTTACCACCAGTCATTTCTCTCCAATAAGAGAGCAGCCCATATAGCCCTCTGGGACTTTGGCAGCTTTACTTTTACCAGAAAATAAAAGTTTGGGTCCCGAAAAACACATCAGATTATGCATTTTTATATCAACCAGTTCAGACATGTTGTGACACACTTTTGTGTGGAAGGTGGGGCTATGAACTTAGGTCCCCTGGTCCCAAAGTACAGACATTACCATTGCACCACAAAAGCCCTTAGCCCAGTAGGGTATACAAGTATTTGACTTAATCAAGACTCTTCACTGGATCTTACTTACAAAGCACTCCTGATTTGAAGAGCTTCATCCTGAGAGTTGATTGTTTTGTCTTTCATGATGATGTTTGAAAACTTGCATTTGATGTTCTGCAATTTACACACAAGGAATTTAGTTCACAATGATAAAAGACACTGCTGTAAGGTACTTTAAACAATCACACATTCACAAGGGGAGGCATTAACCTAGTGGTATTATTGCTGGACTGTTAATCCAGAGACCCAGATAATGTTCTGGGGACCTGGGTTCAAATCCTACCATCAGCAGATGGTGGAATTTGAATTCAATAAATATGTGGAATTAAGAATCTAATGATGACCATGAATCCATTTTTGAGGGGAAAACCCATCTGGTTCAGTAATGTCCTTTAGGGAAGGAAATCTGCCATCCTTACCTGCTCTGGCCTACAGGTGACTCCAGACTCACAGCAATGTGGTTGACTCTTAACTACCCTCTGGGCAATAAATGCTGGTCTAGCTAGTGACGCCCTCATCCCATGAATGAATAAAGGAAAAAAATAACAAGGAGTGTATGCCTGAAACCAAAAGACAGCTGATGAGGGAAAATTAGGAAATACAGCTGCAAACGTTTTTTGTGTAAATAACCAGAAGCAGTGAAACACAGTTTCCCCAGATGTGTTCTGCAAAAGCAAAATATCAGCAACAAGGCAGAGTCATTAAAACAATGCAATGCTCAAGCTGCAAGCTAATGGGATATCATGTGTAATGCACCAATTCTGTAACAATGGGCATTTACTTACACCAAGTACGCTGTGTCATGTTGAACGAAAGTTAAAAAACAGAATCAATTCTATTGAAATGCCAGGTTCTGAGTGCTCATCTATCAGTGTCTGACTCGTTTCAGGGAATCACAGCTTCTGATTTCCCTTCTATCACTGTCTAACATTGTCAGTGGAAGAAATGCTGCCCAAGCTGACTGCATTTCAAAGATTTGTTTGAAGGTACTGATGAATCCACTCAGCTTTTATTCTCATGGCTTCCTGATTCCTTTATCTGTCAGTAAATGAAGAAGCGTCTTGTAACAGTTTCCAGCCTGAATACAAAAAGGCCCAGGGTTGTTTCTTCATCACTTACTTCTGTGGCTGATAATTACAGTTTTCTGTAAAACGAGCCTCCAGGATTTGCCAAAAACTGTCTTATCTCTTTCTCAAATTCTGGAAACAAGGAAGAAATAAACTTGATACAACAAAGAGAACCCTCAACCTAAATAAACTGACTGTACATCAGGGGGCATTGGGGAACTTACCTCCCTAGAGCTGGGAATGGAGGGGATTATAGCTGGTTTATAAAGGCAGGCTCTTGGTTGAGCTCTTGCTTCAGACTGTCTGCCCCTTCAAGGTGCAAATACTGCGATCTGCGAGCAGAGAATGGCAGAGTGGATTGTTGATCACAGAGTCTTGTGACAACAAGTTAAAATTGGTTAAAAATAAGGCTTTTAAAACTGGAGATTAATTCTAAAAATCCAATTTGGCATCGTTCTGGCTGGTGTTATTTCTTTTTCTGGGATATCGACATCATTGGCAAGGCCAGCACTTGTTAGTCATTGCCCTTGAGAACCAGCAGAGAATGACAAAACGAAGAAGCAGCAATTAGAGTATGAGAGAAAGCCAGCTAGAAGTTTAAAAACTGATGGCAAGAGTTTCTATACAAAATTCAGAAAGTAAAGAGTAACCAAAGTGAGTGTTGGTCCTCTCAAGAGTGAACCTGGAGAATGTCTCAATGGGTATGTATCTACCTTCACTGTTCACAGCAAACTACCCAGCCTTCAGGACGACATCAACTACAACACCACACAACCCTGCCACGGCAACCTCAGTAAGACATGCCAGATCATTGACATGGACACTACCATCACACGTGTAACACCACCCACCACATACACAGCAGATACTCATGTGACTCGGCCACTGTTGTCTACCTCATACACTGCAGGCAAGGATGCCTCAAGTCATGGTACATTGGTGAGATCACTGCAGATGCTACGGCAACAGATGAATGGACACAGCGCAACAATCGCCAGACAGGAACGTTCCCTCCCAGTCGGGGAAAACATTCAACCTCCGATTTTCAGGTAAGCATCCTCCAAGGCAGCCTTCAAGGTACGCAGTAATGCAGAATCGCCGAGCAGAAACTGATAGCCAAGTTCTGTACCCACGAATATGGCCTCAACCATGATCTTGGGTTCATGTCACACTACATGTGACCCCACTGCACTGTTCTGCATCTGTAAAATCTTCCTTACTGTCCTGTTTTAACACCATCACCTTGTTAACTTGTTATCATGTCTCTAACTTAATTAGCTTGGACAGTTTTGGATTACTTATTACTTTGGTTAGATTCTACACATGTGACTCTTATACTTATCACATTATTCCAGCCGGCGGTTTGTCTCCAGCACCACACTATTTTTAATTTTTTGTAACTATCTCTCTGCCTCAATTAATCAGATTATAGGTCATTCCTTCGCTTGTTATTCAGCTGTTGACAATTTACTCACACTGTCTGACAGTTTTGATCACCTGCAGAGACCTATTATTCAGCCTGTCGATACTTCACTCACACCATTTGTATGATCTTTTGATCTCTCTGCCTATAAATTATGTGCCTGTGTGCTTCTCTCACTCCACCTGATGAAGGGGCAGCACTCCGAAAGTTTAGGATTTCAAATAAACCTGTTGGACTATAACCTGGTGTCATGTGACTTCTGACCTTGTTCACTGTAGAAGACTTAGAAAACCTTCCAAACGATACTTGTAAATGAAGAAGTGAAAGCAGTAGAGGAACTTAAAACAATTGCTATCAACAAGGAATCATTGCTGGGAAAATTATTGAACATAAAGGCTGACATGTCGGCCTGACCTAATGGCTTGCATCCTGAAAAAAAAATGGCTGTATCAACAGTAGGGAATTGGTTACAATCTTCCAAAATTCCATAAATTCTGCAAATGTCTCTGTAGACTGGAAAATAGTGACTAAAGCATCTTTATTCAAGAAAGGAGGGAGACAGAAAGAAGAATAATATAGGCCAGTTAGCATAGTATTTGTCACAGGGAAATGCTAGAGTCCATTATTAAAGAGGTTATACTTCATTAAATCATAATGGTATCAGACAGCATCAACATGGTTTTGTAAAAGTGAGGCTGTGTCAAACTAATTTATTTTGAGTTCTTTGAGGAACTAACAAGCACCGCGGATAAAGGAGAGCTTTTAAATGTTATGTACTTGAATTTTCAGAGACTTCCTATGACTGGCCACATCAAAAGTAAGAATACATGGTGTAAGGGGTATTGTAATCACTTGGATAAAGAATTGGTTAGCAATAAGGAAGCATGTGAGTTAGGATAAAGTGAGTTGTGGTATAATTGCTGGACTGTTAATGCCAAGACCCAGGTAATGTTCTGGGGATCTGAGATCAAATCCCACTAAGACAGATGGTAGAATTTGAATTTGAATTCAATAAATATGTGGAATTAGAGTCTAATGATGACTATGAATCCATTGTTGTAAAAATCCATCTGGTTCACTAATATCCTTTAGGGAAGGAAACTGCCATCCTCACCTGATCTGACCTACATGCAAATCCAGACCCACAACAATGTGGTTAATTCTTAACTGCCTTCTGGGCGATTATAGATAGGCAATAAATGCTGGTCAGCCAGTGACGCCCTAATCCTGTAAATAAACATTTTTTAAAAAGTGTTGGGACTCAACTATTTGCAATTTAAATAAATAGCTTGGATGAAGGAGTTGAATGTAAATTTGCCAAAGACACCAAGGTATGTAGGAAATTAAGTTGTCAAGAGGAGGTAAAGCTGGATGGAGGTACAAATGCATAGAGATCAACTGGCAGATGAAACATAATGTGGGAAAAAGTGAGGCAAGACGAATAGAAAAGCAGAGAGATTTCAGAAAATGATGGTCCAGAAGGATGTTGGTATCCTTGTAAATGAATCATATAAAGGCATTTTGCAGAGACAGCAAGTGATGAGGAAAGCACATGGAATGTTACTATATATTGCAAACGGAATAGAATATGAAAATAGGGAACACAGTGTGGAGCTGGAGGGACACAGCAGGCCGGGCAGCATCAGAGGAGCAGGAAAGTTGACGTTTTGGGTCGGGACCCTTCAGAATTTTCTGAAATGTCAACTTTCCTGCTCCTCTGACCTGCTGTGTTCATCCAGCTCTACACTGTGTTGTCTCTGACTCCAGCATCCGCAGTTCTTGCTATCTCCATGAAAATAGGGAAGTTTCAGTGCAGCTATATAAGGCATTGGTGAGACCACATACAGAGTACTGTGTACAGTTTTATTTTATGGCAAAAGGTTGAACCGATTGAGCCTTTAACCACTGCAGCTTAGAAGAGTAAAAGTGATTTTGTTGAAACTATAAAATCCCAAGGGATAAGGCCAATGCTGGGACAATGCTTTCTCTTGTGGAGCTAGAGTAGCCAGTTTAGAAGCAAGAAGTCTCCCTTTTAAATTGACATTATGGAGAATGCTTCCTTGGAGTCTGATTAATCTGAAATTCTCTTTCTCAGAGACAGTGGAGGCTGGGTCATTGAATTTATTCAGGGCTGAGGTGCACAGGTTTTTCATTGGTGAGGGAATCAGGGGTAATTGGGTGGGGGGAAACAGGAAAGTGAAACAGAAACCAATACTCCCTCTAACTTTTATTTCAGTGCGTGGGCATCCAAAGCCAGAAGTCAATGCGTTATCACACCGTTTGGCAATGGGCAAAACCTCAGAGTGCCTATGTAGCCATGCGGCTGAGAGGGAACATTTTTCGTAACCACAATCAGATTGGCCATGATCACGTCAAATGGGAGAGTAGGCTCAAAAGGGCCAAATGGTCTACTGCTGCTTTGAAGTCCTGTTCTTATGTTCACATGTAAAGGTAGTGGTGAACCACCTTCTTCATTCATTGTAGCTGTAGAGAGCAGGTACCCACACAGCGTTGTTATCAGGGTGGTGCTAGAATTTTGAACCAGCAACAAGGAAGGAACGAGACTATATTTCCACGTCAGGATTGTATGTGACTTAGAGAGAAATTTGCAGGTGGCATTGTTCACATGGATCTGCCGCCTTCTAGATAGTAGAGGTCCCAGGTTTGGAATTTGTAATCACATTCCAAATGTGTAATCTTATTTGAAACCTGGGCAGCACGGTACTCAGTGGTTAGCACTGCTGCCTCACAGTGTCAGGGTCTCAGGTTCGCTTCCAGTCTCTGGCAGCTGTCTGCAGAGAGTTTGCACATTCTCCTCGTGTCTGCGTGGGTTTCCTCCGGGTGCTCCGGTTTCCTCCCACAGTCCAAAGATGTGCAGATTAGGTGGATTGGCCGTGCTAAATTGCCCATAGTGTCTAGGAACGTGTAGGCTAGTGGATTAGCCATGGGAAATTCAGGGATGGGGTGGGTCTGGGTAGGATGCTCTTCATAGGGTTGGTGTGGATTTGATGGGCCAAATGTTCTGCTTCCACACTGTAGGGATTCTATGATTGGTTTATTGATGCAATGTAGATGGTGCACACTACAGCCACTATGCACGAGTAATGGAGAGAGTGAATGTTGAAGGTAGTGGATGGGATGCTAATTGCTGCTTTGCCCTGGATGATGTTGTGCTTCCTAGGTGTTGTCAGAGCTGCAACCATCCACGCAAATAGGGAGTATTCCATTCCACACCTGACTTATGCCTTGACAATGGTGGAACTCAGAGAGTAGTAAGGGCGTGGAATGCCCTGCCTGCAAAAATAGTAGACTCGCCAACTTTAAGGGCATTTAAATGGTCATTGGATAAACATATGGATGATAATGGAATAGTTTAGGTTAGATGGGCTTCAGATTGGTTTCACAGGTCGGTGCAACATCGAGGGCCGAAGGGCCTGTACTGCGCTGTAATGTTCTATGTTCTATGTTCTATGAACAGAGTCTGAGAAGTCAGGAGGTTGAGTTAATTACAAATGTCTAATCTACACTTGTCATGGCCATAGTAATATGGCTAAAGTAATGATGTCACATTGGATAAGTGGCACAGAAATAGGTGATTTAGCAAAAACAGGCCAGGCTAATGTCTGCGCTCAACTCCGTTTTTCCTGATCCAAATCGATCTTCAGAAACCATACCTCCCTTCACCTTCATGTATTTGTCTAGTTTTCCCTTAAATACATCCATACTGTTCGCCTCAAATAATCCCCAAGGTATAATTGTTTGAAGGCTGAAACGATAAGCATGATGCAGTGTAAAGGACTAAGTGCATGTTTACACATATACCTGGAGCTGCTGATCAATATATGGAATTTTGAGAATTTCCACAGCTGTCGGACGGTGTGATGGATCCTTTTGCAACATGCTGTGAGGAAGAAAGTACGGCACATTGAAGAGGGAGATTACAGAAATACACAGTGAAGCAGACAAGTTGACAGGGCAATCTTTTCAGGTGAGGGTACACATACCTTGTCATGACGGCATTAAGCTCGCTGGAATACCTGTCCGGCAGTGATGGAGTTTCACCCTCCACAATTTTCAGGATAACTGACATGAAGTTATGGCCAGTGAACGCATGATCCAAACAGCACACTTCATACAAAATACACGCCAGAGACCTGGGGAAGTGGGGGGGAATTGAAAATCTTTATGCATGATGTATTGATAAACTTAGACTGAAAATAAGAGAAGAACAGCTGAGGTCCAAAATTAAAATACTGAATAAACATTGCCCTTTTGCATTGGGACTTTAAGCACAATTAATGAATTTCAAACTAAATTTGAGTATTAAAAACTGAAAGAACTGCTGATGCTGTAAATCAGAAACAAGAACAGAAATTGCTGGAAAATCTCAGCAGGTCTGGCAGCATCCGTGAAGAGAACTGAGCGTTAACGTTTCAGGTCCGGTGACCCTTCCTCAGAACAGTTCCGAGTTTGGGTCACTGAACCCGAAACGTTAACTCAGATTTCTCTCCACAGGTGCTGCCGGACTTGCTAGACTGTTCCAGCAATTTCCATTTAAATGTGTGTATTATCAGAACAGATAATAATAATTTTCTCACCTATTCCTAACCATTTTCTATTCAAGGTCCCACAAAGAACATGGTAAGTTTGAATATCTTATCTTTCTGCTGTTGATTATCTTCAGAATTGTGAGCGAGTACAAATTGTTAACTAATTCTTTTTCTTTAAATTTAGAATTTTTCGCACTATTTTAGAATTCTGAACTTCTGCGTCCTAGCTAGAAATACAAGCATTTCATAAAACTCACAGCTGGTTTGCTCAACAGTTTATCCTGACAGTAAAGATCTAATTTTATCATCTTATGACACAGACACATGCAGTTCAAAGGAAATGAAAACAGAAAATGCTGTAAAATCTCAGCAGGTCAGACAGTATCTATGAAGAGAGGATGAAAGTTAAAGTTTCAGGTCAGAGACTTTAGCCAGAATGAGAGATTAACTTGAAATGTTCACTCTCTTTCTCTCTCCACAGATACTGCCTGTTCTGACAAATATTTCCAGCATTGTTTTGATATCAGATTTCCAGAGTCTGCAGTACATTGTTTATGGCAATCACACGGTATGATGAATTGTAGCAGGTCAGGGTAACTTTTGTTTTATGCATTTATGGGCCTTTGTGGACTATCAATAATCACTAAATTCTCCACCCTCATAATAACCTGTTCCAGGAAATTAACTCCTTCAAATAGAGATGTGCACTGCAGTAAGTATCCCAGGGCTAGTATCTACCATGCACACAGGCTATTTTCATTTTTAGTCACTTTTCTGTCGTATATAAATGTGTTCAAGGCCATCAGGAAAAGAGCAGGAAAGTGGACGCGAGGAGTGTTCGATCAGCCATGATCCGCTTGAATGGTGGAGCAGACTCAAGGGGCCGAATGGCCTACTCCCGTTCCTATTTCTTAAAACGAAACTCTGCTTCCTGTATCCTATCTCACACCAAGTCCTCTTCATAGTCTCGTGTTCTCTCTTGGCAAGGTCTATAAATATGAGGTGATACAATGCAGTCAAATATAAACAGCTATTACACACTTAATGGGGTGGCATCCACAAGAACACCAAAGTGGGAGCGTGAGTATTCGGCCCATCAAGACTCTACCAACATTCAATTTGATCATGGTCGACCTTGGGCTTCAACTCCACTTTCTCGCTCACTCCCTATTTCCCTTGATTCCCTGACAGACCAAAACCATGCCCATCCCAGCCCCTAATTTATTCAGCCATGGAAACTCCACAGCCCTCTGCAGTAGACAATCCTTCACAATTAGACCATAATATGTTGGCTGCAGAAGTAGGCCTTTCTGCCCAACATGTCTGTTATGCTATTCAATGGGATCATGGCTGATCTGATGACCCACAGCGTTGTTTCTTGCCTTTTCCCATAACCAATGGTTCCCTTACTGATTACAAAATCTATCTATCCCAGCTTTGAGTATACTTAATGATCCAGCCTCGACAGCCCTCTGCGGTAAAGAATTGCACAGATTCACTACCCCTGAGAGATGAAACTCCTCCTCATCTCTGTCTTAAATGGGCGACTCCTTATTTTGAGATTATGCCCTCTGGTCCTAGGCTCTTCCACAAGGAGAAATAACATCTACCCTGTCAAGTGCCCTCAGAATCTCATATATTTTCAGTAAGGTCTCCTCTCATTCTTCTAAACTCCAATGATTCAAGGCCCAACCTACTCAAGCTCTCCTCATCAGAAAAGCCCTCGATTCCCAGGATCAACCTGATGAACCTTCTCTAGACTGCCTCCAATACCAGTACATCTTTCCTCAGGTAAAGGGCCCAGAATTGTTCACGGTTTTCCAGCTGTGGTCTGACCAGTGCTTGGTGTAGTTTCAGCAAAGCCTTCCTACTTTTGTAATCCATTCCCTCTGAAATAAAAGCCAACATTCCATTTGTCTTCCCTATTACTTGCCGAGCTGTACGCTAGCTTTATGTGAATTATGCACTGGAACCGCCAAATCCCGCTGTGCTGCAACTGTCTGTAGTCCTTCTCCAACGCAGTAATATTTAGCTCTTGTATTCTTTCTGCCAAAATGCATGATCTCGCAGTTTCCCACATGATATCAACCCCGTGAGTGAAGTAATTTTCTCCTCATGTCAATCCTGCATGATTGGCTCTTATCTTGAGACTACAGTTTCAATCAGGGGTAACAATCTCTCAGAGTCTACCCTTTCAAGACCCTACAGAATCTTGTATTTCTCATTGAGGCTACATCTCACGCTTCTAAATTCCAAAGAACATTGGCCCGTAATTACTACTCAGCCTGTCATTCTAGGACAATCCTGTCATCCCGATTACCTGGTCATTTTTGGTTTGAGAGAGCTTTCAGTGTGCAAACCAGCTGATGTGTTTCCGACACAATGTCAGTAATTACACTCCTAAAGTCCTTTATTGGCTGGTAAACACCAGTGGCTGCTATATACATGCCAATCTTTTTTTTGTGGAATTCCAGTATTACCAGATTTATGGAAGAGTACCTCCACCCAATCCAAGACAACAAGTTGCAGAGCTGGATGAACACAGCAGGCCAAGCAGCATCATAGGAGCAGAAAGGCTGACGTTTCGGGCCTTTTTTT